GGGACAGGAGCCCACTGGTTGACCAGCACACAGGACAGAGCCTGGGGTGGGGGTTGGGTGGGGTTGGCAGGAGCCCACTGTTTACAAGTTGAATGGACGACCCCTTGTCAAGTAGGGGTACAAAGAAGTACCCCAATCTACCTCCATCACTGGGCTCTGGGAAGCAGGCCCAGGGGACAGCTACCACTGCCAGAGAGCTTTCAGAGCACACAGAAGATATGCTGTCCACAGGGACATCCCAGGGACAGAAGGCCAGACCAGCAGCCCCAGGCTCTGGACTCTGGCCATGCCTTCAAGTTCTCCTGGCAGTGACTTCTCAGGGCCCAATGGGGAAACTGAGGCCTCAGGAGGGATAAGAATGTCCACGTTCTCCCGGCTGGAGAGCCAAGAGCAAGGGTCAGACCCCATGTGTCCTCACCCCCAGTGACAGTCTAGACCTCTGATGGCCACTGCTGGGACAGTTCTCAGGCTGTATAGTGGCTTTAGAGGAGGAAAGGACAATGGCGTGCACTTGGCCTTCCTCTGCTCCTGAAGGCTCTGACTTTAGCCACATGGAAGGGGGAATGCATGGCAGGGGGGTGGCGCACAGTGGGGCGGGGGGTGGCGCAGTGGGGCGAGAGGGCGGCGCACAGTGGGGCGAGAGGGTGGCGCACAGTGGGGCGGGGGGCTGCATGGGAGGGGGCACGTGGGAGGGGGCAGTTCCTACCCACAGGCTGCAATGAAAAAAATCTTCGGAGGACTGAGACGCCCTGTGACCTGAGGAAGCCCTGGTGGTCCAGAGGGTAAGGAGCTGTGGTGCCAACCCAAAGGTGGGCGGTTTGAATCCATCAGCTGCTCTGAGGGAGAAAGACTGGCTGAAAACCTGCTGGAGGGTCAGCTATGGGTCGGTTCTGACCTGATGGCACAAAAGTGGTAGGAGAGAAGCTCCTCAGGGCTTCAGTGTGAGAAGCCCCTCAGAAGGAGGGAATCGTGGAAGGTTCTGGAACCAGGGCTTCAGTGCATAGCATTGTCAGTGGGGGCTGAGTGAATCCCAAGGACGGAGAGGCTTCCTCTCTCAGCCAAACAGGGTACTTCTTCTGACACACCCCAAAGTGTGGCATGGACTAGCCCTTCTAACTGGAACCCTAATTTCTGCTGGGTCAAGAGAGCGTTAAAGGTCCTGGGTCCCCCTCAGGAGCTCCGGTGGCACAGTGCTCAAAGTGCACCACTGCTAACTGAAAGGTCTGCAGTTTGAGCCCATCAACCCCTCGGCAGAATGCTGAGAGGACAGTGTGCTTCTGTGAAGGCATGGGGACCCCGCGGGAAGCTCTGCCCGCTCCCACAGGCCACTGTGCGTTAGGATCACCACAGTGACTGAGGGTCTAGGCTGGTGGCTTTGGCCACCCTCACGCTGGCCACCTTCCAGCCACCCTGACCATCCCTGGGGGGCGGGGATAGTCCTTTCCCCTTGCACATTCCTCCAGCGACACGAATGATACCCCTGTGCTCCACGGAGGCGGCCAGCTGGCCGGGCCGTGAAACTGCCCAGGGGTCCTGGAACGGCTCTCCTTGCAGCCACCCAGCTGTCCCGGGATAAATCAAAACACAGGCTTAAATCAAAACCCATTTAAAACCCCGGAGCCACCTCCCGTGGAGCCGATCAGCGAGGCTCGGCACCAGCACAGCTCGGCCTCGGAGGCACACTCACCCATGCTGTACTTGGCCTTGGTACATGTCGTCCTTTTCAAAATCTCATACACCTGCCGCGGGGAACAAGAGAGGGGCCAGTGTGAGTCCCAGCTCCCCAGCAAGCAACGGAGAGGAGTGTGGGGGAGCCTGATCATGGGAACCCCAGCCCTTTCCCAGGAAAGAGACAGCTTTCTGAGGAACAAAGGATTCCTGGCAACACCAAGAGTTTGACAGTTTTAGGGATAAAACAAGAATTACTGGGGGTGGAGGGCACACACGCTGAACATGCTCAGCTGTTCACCAAAAGGCTGGAAGTTTATATTCACCCAGAGAGAGCCCTGGTGGCCTAGTGGTAAGAACGTGTGCAGCAATCCCAGAGGCTCTCGGTTTGAATCCACCAGCTACTTCCTGGGAGAAGGATGGGCAATCTCCTCTTGTGCAATTTACTGCCCCCTAAAACTGCTGTGGGTCGATTCCACCCACCAGTAACACAACAAAAACAACAACAGACATGCTTCAGAGGGAAGGCCTGGCGAACACCCTCCTCAAAATGAGCCGCTGAAAGCTCTGTGAGCGCGATCCCACCCTGACACTCAGGGGGTCACCAGGTGACACTGAGGAGGTCACAGGGTGACATTCAGGGGGTCAAAGGGTGACACTCAGGGTCACAGGGTAACACTCAGGGTCACGGGATAGCACTCAGGGGGTCACAGGGTGACACTTGGGGTCAAAGGGTGACACTCAGGGGTCACAGAGTGGCACTCAAAGGCCAGAGCGACTCTCAAGGGTCCCAGGGTAACACTCAGGGGGTCACAAGGTGACACTCCGGAGTCACGGGGTGACTGGCTGGTCAGCAGCCTTCTGGTTTAGGGTATTTTTTGGTGGCTGTTGTTAAACATTTCTTCCTGTGCAAGTATGTATCAGACAACATTTGCCAGTTCACTATTTTTCATGCATCTAATTTAATGACATCAATTCTGTCAGTCACGTTGTGCAGCCACGATCAGTAATCATGCCACTGGGTTTTAAGAGTCTCTCCTTTACTTGCACAGGATAAGTGACAGCAGCACCCTCTGTGAGGCAGGGCTTGTGTGCCCGACTCTCTCGGCAGCTCTGAGTTGCGCTCAAATCCGTCACCTCCAAGTTGACTCTGACTCCGGGGACCCAGCGGGAGCAGGCGGGTGCCTCCCAGGGCTGTCGCAGCTACACAGCTGCACTGGAGCCGGCACCCCTTCTCTCTCCCAAGGAGCAGCTGGGGGGTTTGAAACGCAGACCTTTTGATTGTCAGTGTTCAGTCACTGTGCCACTCACTGCGCCAGACTTTTTTTCTGCAGAGCCGCTGAGGAGGCTCGAACTGCCAACCTTTACATCGACAGCTATCACATACTGCGATTGCTCCCAGGCTAAGTCCAGTTTGTCTCTACTATTAGAATTAACTGGATGAAAAAGGGGTTGGTTGATTATTAACTCTAACAAGATGAATTGAAAACCTGTCGCTGATAAAATTCACAGTGGCAGGTGGGTCCACAGAGGTCCATCTGCATTATTGTCCTGGGGGACACACACAGTTACCCTTTGCTAGGGGACAAAGATCCACCCGGGTTTTGACAAAGACTCAGTGTCTCTCTCAAGGCGGCAAAGCCTGTAGAGGTGGTGTGGGCATGAGACTGAACGGGCCTGTCCCATGTGGCTGAATCTCCCTCAGGACACGTGACCAGCACTACTCTGTGCCCTCGGCCACCTGCCAGTCTCTGTGATGGTGGCACAGGAGGGACAAGGTCCTGCACAGGTCAACCAGCTGTCCCCTCCAAGTTACACTGCTCCCCGGCCAGGCTGACACAAGACGAGAGGACAGCTGTCACAGCCTGGTTGCTGGCAACTTTCTTGTTTGGATAAAAGTTGGTCTGGAGCCACGCACAGCCCAAGTTGGCTGGGGGACAAGCTGGCAGCTGATGGGTAAACACTGGGCCGGGACCTTGAGTGGGGCAGGGCAGCATGGTTAGGTTTCTACCCTCAGCTTGCTTGTCTGGCTAAGCCAGGAAACTAGATCCCAATGCGTACACCCAATCACGCCTGTGTACGCACGCCTGCTCATAGCCTCCAAGTTAAGGAGACCCTGGTTTAGAAGCACAGAACCCAGGAACCGTGAACAACAGGAGACAAGACATGAAGCCTGTTATAGCACGGATGAATGAGGTCCTGATACACTGTAACATGGGTGACTGAGACAGGATACATGCGACAGAGACACACTGTAACACGGGTGACAGAAACATGATACATGTGACAATGTGGATGAATGAGGTCCTGATACACTGTAACACGGGAGACTGAGACGGGATACATGCGACAGAGACACACTGTAACACGGGTGACTGAGACAGGATACATGCGACAGAGACACACTGTAACACGGGAGACTGAGACGGGATACATGCGACAGAGACACACTGTAACACGGGTTACAGAAACATGATACATGTGACAATGTGGATGAATGAGGTCCTGATGCACTACACTGTAACACGGGAGACAGAAACATGACACGTGACGATGTGGATGACCAAGGTCCTCACACACACTACAACATGGATGAAGGACTTGAACACACACGACAACATGAGTAACTGAAACACACATGCTAGAACATGAGTGAATGAGGTCCTGACACAAGACACATGTGGAGGAAGGAGGTCTGAAACACACGATAACACAGATGAGTGAGGTCTTGACACGCACTGCAACGTGGGTGAATCAGTTACCTGCTGTGACCCGATGACTGAGTCCTGACATATCCTACAATGTGGACGAATGGACTCTGACACACACCACAGCCCAGCTGGACAAGGCCCTGACACACACCACAGCACGGCTGGACGAGGCCCTGACACACACCACAGCCCGGCTGGACGAGGCCCTGACACACATCACAGCCCGGCTGGACGAGGCCCTGACACACACCACAGCCCGGGTGAATGAGGTCCTGAAACGTGCTACCACATAGATGGATGAGGCCTGGCACCTGGTGAGGTCTAGGTATGGGGTCTGCAAACCTGACCCTGCACATTAGAAGGCAGGTGTGAAGGACACACAGGAGAGCTCTGCTTACACAAAAGGGCAGAAGATCAGACAGGAGCTTGTCCCTCGGTGTGTGTGGGGAGCTAAGTGGGGGTGGGGGGTGGAGCACAGAGCTGGAAACGGTTGGGTTATAATTTGGACAACTGGCGATGATGGCTGTGTGGCATGATTGTGACTATTGTCACTGAATTGTACGTGGAAAGTGGCTGGACTGGCAAATGGTTAGAGAGCTTCGTTTTTACAGCCATAGAAAGAAAAGGAAGCGATGCAGAGAAAAAAACAGGAATGGCTGACAAGGAGACGCCAGAGCTGGGCAGACCCTGCAGAGGATGAGGCACCCCGGTCAGCATCCGGGACATGAGGACCCGGAGCCCCTCTCCAGCCCTCCCCCCACTTCTCCCAGTGTCCTTCCCTCCCGGAGTCAGCTCCAGGCCACCACTGTCCCCAGGGCCCGCCAGCCCTCCCAGTTTTATTATCCTAATTATTTCTGTCCCAGGCAATTAGAGCTGTTTTTTTTTTTCCTGCCGGAGGAGCTTAACTGAAATCAAATTATTATCAGTGTCCCCAGGGCCACCTAGCCGAAGAACCATTCCTCGTGTGACACTTACAATTGTGCTCCGGGTTTTGCTGTCGAAAAAGGAATCCTTATCGGACAGATCAAACCTGTGGAGATGTGGGGAGACAAGGGGTCCTGGTCAGGGGAGCTGGGCCTCCTCGCACCAAGGCCTGAGAAGTCACGCCATCTCCACCACTGGTGGCCGAGGACTCAGCCACATACCACAGGTGACCCTGGGCATCTGTAGTGGTCTAGCTCATCATTCCTTGGCCACCATGAAGTTCTGAGACCCAGGCGGGGCAGAAGTGACCCCAGAGCTACATTCAGACAGACCTGCCTCTCCCAAGGTCCCTGCTCCATGGTGACATCTTCTGGGGAGTGTTTCAAGTTTCTGCTGGGGTCAGAGAGAGTGCCATGCCTCCTTGGGCAGCTGTGACTTTGTGAAACAATGTTCCTGCGACTTCTGGGATGGCACAGAGGTTTGCCAGGCTCCCCGGAGGTGGGTGACTCCCTCCCCAAGGTGCTCAGAGTACAGGCAGTGGAGGGATAGAGGTTGGCATATGCTGACCATTACCTCAGTGAGCCTGGAGCTAAAAGGACATGGTGACGCAGGCTGGCTGATGGGTCAGGCAGGACAGAGCCAGGGAGCTGGCCCCATAGACACCCAGCCTTTCACTTCTGCAGGAGCTGCTTCTTTCTAAAATGCCCCAGAACATTGTCATGGAGTGACATTCTCCTCTCTGGGCAGCATGTCCTGTGCCCCTGGATTGGGCAGCACAGGTGAGAAGCTGGGGCTCCCCATAAGGGACCCCAACTCCACCTTGAGGCCCTAGCTGTCTGCACCCAGGAGGTCTGCGGCATCAGAGCCCCTGCCTGCCCCTTCGAACGCCACTGAGGGCTCTCCTGCGGCCCAGAGGCCTGCTCTCTCCCACGCCCCCAGGGAGGCCCTGCAGCTGCTGCTGACCCAGGTGGCTACGCCCCAGTACCCCAGGGAGGGGGGGAGGAAGGCTCTGCCAGGTGAGGCCCTGCCAGGCAGCCCCACCAGCTGCCTCCCCAGGGACACTGTTCAGTCCCTGCTGTGCTCAGGTTGCTGTGGGGCAGGTGGGGAGGGGAGGTCAACCAGGACTCCTGGCCCAGAGCAGCTGGATGAGGAGGGGGACACTCGGCTTCACAGCATGGCGTGCAGCACTGTTTCCTGAGGCGCCCCAGTGGTGCACAGTTAACCAGCTCTGCTGTTCACCAAAAGGTTAGAGGTTCAAGTCCCTCCAAAGGGTCCACGAAAGAAAGGTCTAGCTAGCTGCTGGCAGAGAACCAGCCCGAAAGCTCTATGGGGCACAGCTGTACCATGACCCGCACGGGGCTACGACAGTTAGAGGGGCTTAGTGACAGCGACATTCCACAACATCCCTGGGACCTGTCTGTCTTTCTTCTGAGAAGAAGGCTCTTCCTCCATCTCCTCAGAGCACAAGGAGCTTGGAAAGACTTCCCAGCACCCCCGCCCCCCGGGCTCAGAGGGTGAGTCCCAGGCACTAACATCCCCTCTCTGGTGATAGAGACACCCCGACCCCATATCCCTTTGACCTTCATCATGCAAAACATGCTCCAGCACAGACAAGGGGCGCTGGGCCCCACTTACAGGTGCTGCTTCTCCCGGGAGAAGGGGTAGGAGAGTCTCTTGGTGGCCTGTGGCCTGTGCTCGGACACCCGGGGCTGGATGGGGTCTGTGATTTTCTGGAGCACCGAGTTGATCTTTTTCAGGAGGCCGTGGGTCTCATTGATGTGGTACATCTGCAGGGGAGAAGAGGGGAACATTGCTGTGAAGCAGGGGTGACCCTCCAGTCCAGCCTCAGACCCCTGCCCCTGGGGGTCCTTCCTGGGGACTGAGCTTGCGCAGTCCAGCCATGCCCTCCACACACAGGATCCCCGACAAATCCTGCCTGAAAGCTCAGAGGCTGAACCAAAGATGTGCCTATAAAAAGTTCTAGAATATTCTCCCCTAAACTTCACTTGTGTTGGGAAAAATGTTAGCCAAATGCTTTCAGTGGAGGGCTGACTTCCATGGCACAGATGTAAACCCAATTTCAAACAAGATCAGCGGCACACCATAAAGCCCTCTCTCTCTGTGAGTTTTCTGAAGATTAGAAAGAATAAGCACAGAGCATTTGCAGGACAGTGGAGCTGTACTGGAACGACAGACAGGGTGCATTTGTCACATTTGCACAACACAGAGTGAGCCAGTGAACTGTGGACTAGTGTTAGTAACAATGTATCAGCATGTTTCATCCACTGTCACAAATGTATCTCAGGATCGCAGGAAGTTAATGACAGGACAAGCCATGGGCAGCAGGGAGCAGGGGATACTGGAACCCTCTGTGCTTTCTCCAAGTTTTCTGTGAACCTCAAACTGCTCTGAAGAAAAAAGAAATCACATCTATTAAAATCCTCAGCAGGGGAAAAAAGAAAGAAAAATGCTAGCAATCCAGGAAATGTAATTAAAATAAATCTGATAGATTAGTGGAGACACCACAAGTGTATAAAACCAGAGCCTGGAGTTTAATTGTGTTTGTGTTTATAATAAATTCCTGCAGTCTCTGCTGCTCACGTCACACCCGGCAGGGCAGGGTCTGGGGTCTCTAAATGTCAGCTGGCAGCTGAGTTCTGTGCTGTGTGTCAGGACACAGAGATCTGTATGTCCTGAAGTCACTGGGCTCGCTCTGAACCCAGGGTCTCCTGGTGACCCCATGCAGAGCTGGCGGCCTGTTCTGGACCAGAGGGATGCCCACCAACCTTCTTAGTCGGCATCTTGAGTTTCAAGAACTCAGCTTCTCTGCACAGGACGTTCCAGGGGGCGTGGATTTTGACAAAACCAACCCCGTGAATTTTGGTCTGCAAAGAGAAAGAACAGTTCTCAGTCAGCATGGGTGGATGCATGTTGTTGAAACAATTTCATCCCCAGATACAAATAATTCACCGAGTAGTTGTTTTAAAATATTCCAAAGAAGAGATGTCATTTGAGGGACTAAGGTGGGCCTGGCCTCAACCACGGTCTTTTCAGTCCCCTCTTGTGTGTGTGGAAGGGAACCAAGAAGAAGGAAGACTGAGGAAAGATTGATGGTGTTGGAGAAAGAGCAAGTGGACGCCAGTAGAGGGACCAAATGCATCTTAGAAGAAATGCAAGCAGAATGCTTCTTAGGGATGAGGACGGCGAGAGGCTGCCTCGCTTACTCTGGGCATGCCATCTGGACAGACCAGGCGGAGGTCACCGAGAAAGAGGGGAGCCCCAGTGAGATGGATGGACACACAGTGGACACACCCCCATCACCTGTCATGAAGGGGAAGCCGGACCACTCCACTGAGTCGTGCACAAGGTTACCTTAAGTTAGAAGTGGTTTTCTGGCAGCAAACAGCACATGCTAATGAGCCTCCAGTGGTGGAGTGCCTAACATGTTGGGCTGTGAATCAGAAGGTCGGCAGTTCAATCCCACCAGTGGGAGAAAAAGTGGCAGCATCCTCCCATAAGGATTGTCAGCCTCGGAAACCCGATGGAGGGTCACTACGAGTCTGAATGGCCTCTGTCAGTGGGTCACAACATGTCACCCAGTGACTGCAGCCCAGAGGGACGGTGTGCATGCCACCAGGCCACACAGGAACACACCAGAGCCAACATAGTCTAGACAAGCGACCCCAGCAGGCCAAGTCTCCAAGCTCCCTGTGGAGTCTTCAGGGCAGTGCAGCCGAGGCCCTGCAGCAGACAGGGCACCCCTTCACCTACGTGACTCGGTGCACCCCGATTCCCCCAGGTCCAGCATGGGGACGAGGAGAGGTCCTGCCACTGCAAAACTGATGTGTGGGGTCTCTCCCAGGATGTAGCTGGTGGATTTACACAGGGGCACAGGACTCGTTCTGCACAAGCATGCAGGAGATGCCTCTGACGCGGGCACAGCCCAAACAGTACTGCAGTGGTGAGAAGAAACCAGTGAGGGGTGGGGCCCCTGTCACACAGGTGAACGCCCCAGAAGTGAGTGCCCTCTCCTCCTGGAACCCTGTGGGGGTCTAGGGGTCAGAGAGCAGCTGGGGACACAGAACCACCACTGAGAGGGCAGGTGGTTCTGTGAGGAATAGGCCCAGGCCCCCCGCAGAGCAGAGAACGTCATGTAATCTGGACTCACCCCACGAAACCCCCGACTTCCCCGACTGTGCATAGCATTGACCTTTCAAAAGAAAGAAGAGACTTGCGGGACAAACTCGCACTGGATTTACAGGGATCTGGGGCATCTCCAAAGAGCTCTGGTGGAAGAGAGCTGGGCTCCCAGACCAAAGACACATGGTTCAAAGCCACCAGCGATGCCACAGGAGAAAGATGGACAATTTATCCATGCGATTTACTGCCTCTGAAAACCTACTGGAGGGCCAGCTGAGCCAGGTCCTGCTCAACAGTACACAACAACAATAACAACAAGAAGGCATCACCAGGGCCTTGACGGTGCAGCGGTACCTGGCTTGGCTACTTAAAGGTCAGAAGTTCAGACCTTGTAGTTGTTCTGCAGGGGAAAGATGAGGTGGTCTGCTCCCGCTGGGAACCCTGTAGGGTGTGGTCCATTCCATGGGGATGCTGTGGAGTGGTCTTCCTTGGGGACCCTGTGGGGTGGGGTCCATTCCCATGGGGATACTGTGGGGTGGTCCACTCCCTTGGGAACCCAGCCACAATTGGCTCCATGGGGGACCCTACAGGGTGGTCCACTCCCTCATGGACCCTGTGGGGTGGGGTCCATTCCCTTGGGGACACTGTGGGGCAGTCCACTCCCTCAGGGACATTGTCAGCCGTCAGCTCCCTGGGGGACCATGCGGGGCAGTCTTCCTCCATTCTCCAAGGTCTCTGTAAGCTGGAATCACTCAGTGCCAATCACCCTGTGTCTGCCTGGTGTTCTGGAATCATCTGGATGTGACTAGAATGATGAAAGCTCTGCCACTGGCATCTCATGCCAGCAGAATCACCCATGGTGGGAAGATTTCAGCAGATTTTCCAGACTCAGATAGACTCGGAAGTAAGGCCTGGCAACACACGGTTGAAAATCAGTCAATGGAAAGTCTTGGAAGGTGTGGCCACAGGAGTGAGGGGCACTACAGCTTCCCTTTCCAGCAGGAAGTAGCTAAGAGAATACGCCGTCCCCTTTTCCTTATGAATCAGGGTGAAGTCTCTCTCAGGGAGGAGTGATAGGGAATGGCAAGGGACACACTGACAAAGGAGATTCATCAGAACTGGGTTCGACAAGCACTGTGGCAGTTGGACAATTAAAACAGACATTCGGGGGCAGGGAAGAAGAACGAACTGGAGAGGAGGGTAGAGAAAACAGTGCAACAATGAATGAATGAAAACCCGAAATCTCTGTAAATGTTCACTAAAATTAATAAAATTTAATAATAACTTTAAAAAAAAGAGCGAGGGGCACTGTGGTCTAACCGTCCTCGATCACTGGTAGTACCGGGGGTCTTACAGGTTTTCAAGTGGTCAGTCAAGGCATGACAGCTGCCGTCTATTCACCTGATTGATGCTCAAGTGAGTCAGGGGCAGAGTAAGACTTAGGCTGTGGCACCAATCATGCCCAAGAATGATTGTCTCCTTTTATCATAAAACCAGAAGAATTGGACGACACCCTGCTACCATCACGAAGCACTTTGATAAAATTTCTATAGAAGAATTCCAATCAAAAGGAGGGCGACCGCAGAACAAACTTTAAAATTCTTGCAGGCTCCCCAGGTATCCTGGGACTATTGTTGTTACTGTAGTCTCCTAGCTGGAGCTGACCCACAGCTGACCGTCCAGTGGGTTTTCAAAGCAGTAAAGCGCATTGGAGATCACACATCTTTCTTCTGTGGGGCGGCTGGTGAATTTGAACCACTTGCCTTTGTGTTGGTAGTGCAATTCCTTACCACAAGCCATCAGAACTCTTTCTAGAACTCGAGAGGGTATACAAACCCAGGAAACCATTGCCCTGAGCTCGTCTTTAAACCTCAAATTAGCAATATCCCCTGAAGCCTTCTTCAAAGCAAATACTAGCTTAGTTAACCTGGGAAAGCTGGTCTCCTTTGAGCACTGTGTTTTGAAAAGAACTATTTGTATGGGATCAAACTGACAAAAAGCAGTGTGACGGGTTAGATAGGAAGCTTGGGAGTGGGGCAGGGTCAACCTGGGACAGGAGGGCGGGGTGACAATTTTCAGGATGTAGTAACTGTACTGCATGAGTGTAGATGGCTGAGCTGGTGAATGCCCTGAGTGCACGTCTGCAACAATAACACTTAAACCAGAAACGGAAGGAGCTCTAAGACTGCCTGAGAGGTAGGGGCTGCCCGGGAGTCCGGGGTGGTCCATGGGGCTGGGGAATCTGGCTCAAGGTGGTTCTTGACCATCCAGGCACTTGGGAACCCAAACGAGACACCTTCACCTCAGATCTTGGCTCCTGTCCAAGATGACGGCCAGCAAGCTGGAGACGCAGGCCCACCTGGACGCGTGGTGATGTGGAGGGGAACCAGCAGAAGCACCTGGGGCTGAAACAGACCCAGCAGCCTTTCGGTTAAGGAAGCACCAGATGGGTGATACTCCAGCAAGCCTTCCTCGTGGCAGGAAGAAATGCAACCCGAGACTGGGAAGACCCACAGAGGACAGGAAGCCATGCAGGAATGACCCAGCGACTAGACTTCAAGAAAGAAAAAAAGACCTGAAAATCTCCACAGGTATGTTTGAAAATACTCAGCCCCTCCACGGAAAAGCGGTGGGATGGTGGAGGGAGGCTGGCAAAGCTGGTCTCCAGGGAAAGCCCGAGTCCTGCCCAGCTGGCTTTGCCAATCCCGGTGGATGAACTGCCCACCAGGCAGATGCCAGGTCCCCAGTGGGCAAATGACCATCCCTCAGAACAAGCTGGCCCTGGCCTCTCCCCACACCACAGACACATGAGGACCAGAAGTAGGTCTAAATGGACAAGATTCCTTGTTCTGTTTGGCCTCTGGGATGGCCCCCCAGCCACGGAGGCAACGACCCCCAGATGGAGGGACCCATCACCAGGGAAGTTTCAGTCTCTTGTCTTTCCACGAGCGACATGCTGAGTGAACTAACTCAGTCTTATAAGGACAAATACTGCACACAACAATTATTCTAAAAGTAGAAGGGTAACTGGTAAACCATGAATGGGGATACAAGGGGGGAAGGGGAGAGAGTGGGGGGTGAGGATGCGTAGGGGTGAAACCACAGGGTTGTGCAATTTGGTGGGTGAAAAAGGAAGTGGGAAGGATCCAGCGGGGATCTGAGAAGACAGGGTAAGGATGGGAAGTCCAGTGGTGACAGATTTTATAAAACCTAATACACGTGAATGATTGTCGGAAACACAATGTGAAGGAAGAATAGTGTGAAACACAATGTACATGAACTTGGTAAACAAACCAGTAAGATAGTTTTAAGAAACAGCTAAAATTTCACCCGACACTACGGACTTCCCCCCTCATGGAATAGTTTTGGGGGGAAATTTAAAGACCCGGGAGGAAGAAAAAGAAGACCAGAGGAGAATGAATGCGTTTGGATTATGGCTGACAAAGAATACGGAGTGCACCCGCGTGGACCACCAGATGAGTGAACAGCTCTGTCTTGGAGGAAGCACAGGCTGCGGGCGTACTCCGTAGATGCAAGGCTGGGGCGCCTGCCTCGGGATCCAAGGCCAGGAAGGACCCACCTGGAGAAGGCCCTCCTGGCTGGGCAAGGTCAAGGTCAGCACAGATGAGGAAAAGCTCCCATGATGTGGACACTCCCCAGTCCTGAAGAAGGCCCAGGACGGGGCAGCGTTCCACTATGATACCCAAGGCCTCCAGGTCCAGGACCCAGCCCAGCCACCACCCAC